TCAGTTATTGCTTTAATTTTTACCTTATTGGACCAGCACGATTGTTTCTTATACTTCCAGTACAAGATAAGATCACTACCATATACAATTTCTTGTATTAGGAATTTGTCTTTTCGCGTACCCCAACTTGCTCTCCATGAGACACACAGACAGGGAGAGAAGCTGGGGGTCAGAGCGCAGGGTCAGCGATTTATACAGCACCCCTGGAGCAGTTGGGGTGAAGGGCCTTGCTCTGCCGGCCGCGGGATTCAACCGGCAACCTTCCAGCCACAGGCGCAGATCCTGAGCCACAGAGCCACTGCACCGCCCCAACAACAACTACATTTGTACTGGAAGTCACTCTTAGAGAAGGGCATCAGCTAAGTGAAATTAGTAATAATAGTCATACGTGCACTGTACTGTACATGCTGCATGCCGTCTGAGAGCCTGAGCAGCAACACAGCTGGGGTGGATGCAAGTGTCCCCTGGCCCTGGGCTGGGCTGGCCAGAGGGTGGGGCGAGCTGGTGGGATGGCATTCCCCCTGACCAGCAGGAGCAAGAGGTCAGCGCGAGGAGCGAGCGGGAGCAGGCGGGGATCAGAGGGAGCACACAATGGGACAGAAAGCGGAAATGCGTGGGGGAATGTCACCGTGTGTTCTCCAGCCTGCAGAGAATAGGCACGACATCAGCTCCAGCTGAGCTCCAAAGGGTTAATGGATTGGGCAGCCCAGCAGGGGCCGGGGGTCACCAGGCCACTCCGCTGGGCTAATTGGCGAGCGAGATGGGCTCTGGGGGAAGGAGGGGTGATCCGAAAATATAACAGAGGGAGATCACACAATGCCAAAGATGTACGACGGTGATCAGTCGTGTCTCAGAGACAGTCTTGCTGCTCACTTTCAATACAATTCCACAGACCCGGGACTATTGTACCGCGTAGAAGATGGTGTGGCGGCAGTCATTTTCAATATCAATGGGATTCAAAATCGCTTTTCAATATCTGCGAAAGGAACTCTGTGGGTTACTACAGGTGTGTCGGAATCGTTATTCCAAGCTAGCTCCTGTTGCGGAAAAGTTACGTTTTTTTTTAGTTATTATGGATAACCTTACAGTAGCTCCTCACTGAATTGCGTTTGATCTGTTGCCTCCTTCTAGCAGATACTTTTGAAAACCAATTCCTTCCCAGTGCTTCTCTCCAGCACTTTTGCTCCTGTTGATACCTCTTGAAGGCCCTGTGGATGGTGCTCATGGTGCTCGTAAGTTAAAGAAAGGTGCTGGGGTGATTGTGGTGTAGTTTCTTTTGAGTGCCTCTGAGGTCTCGGATCTCACCTGAGGAGCTGTCTGAGGTGCATGTTCGATGGTCTGTTGTCATCGGCGCAGGTCCTGCTCCAGAGGAAATCTGAGGCATGTATGGACGTACATGTGCAACATGTTATGTATGGTTTCTGACCTGAAGCTTAACTGGAAGGATGCAAGACAAAAAGAAGAACAGAAAGACAGAGATGCTGTCTGGAATTGTTCCTGCATGGGAATTAGTCAGTCCTTTTTGTTCGCTGCTGTTTCAGGCCAAAGGCTGAGTGCCCTGCACTGTATGTGCTGTCCAAAGGCATCCTGACGGATCAGTGTCACAGAGTGTGGTGCAGAGAGGGTTAATGATTTATGGTGCTGGAATGCCCTGTGTAGGACAGGGTTAATATTCACCAGACACCACCATCAGCTACAAAGCCTGCTTCTCTGGGGGGTCCTGCATACAGTGGCTTTTCAGTCAACTTCCAGCCTGGGGCTTACTTGGTATTTAGCATCACCAAAATTTAAAGCAACATATATGGTTATATATCTATCCACGTGTGGTATATATGTATAGAGGTGCAACAAACACAGGTATTACATACAGATGCTTTACTCCTTAACTACAATGTGAATCTTAGTATCCTGGCAGTGCGCACAGTGCATAAGAGTAACACAGGGGTGGGCAGATATTCTATTACAGTCTTTGTTGCAGCCAATCCTTAAGTGATTTTTAGCAGCTGTGCCAATTAACCAATTAAAATTCAATTAAGTGGTCGTATTCGTGGACAGACTGAAATACTACAATGTAATATAATGGATAGATCAAGCTTGCTTACCTTCAATTTAGAGCACAGTGAGCTCTGAATTTGAATATTTAGGTCCATGCGCATCATGTTAAGTGATGTTTTGGATCTTATGTTTACATACAAAAATATTAGTTTGAGGCCGTTGTGTAAAGCATGTATGAACAGGATAGAAAATCTGAAAATGCCACATATTATACCAAACCTCCACAGACAAGAGGAATGTGTTTTCATAACCTTTTAAAGACAGGGAAATTGTTAAAGTATCCAACATGAGATCAGAGTGCAAATAGTTTTAAAAGCCACAGTTAGGTTCAACCCACAGAGCCTTCTTAGGAATTTAATTAATAATTAGCAGGATCAAAATGCCAAATTAATTATGTATCACCTATACATACCAGGTACCAGAACAGATTGGATGGGC